CCCCGTTGATAATTAAATTACCATACAGAAGAGGTTCTAATACCAGGACAACAAAGATAGAGACTCTGATTTCAGCTGTGGCTGAGATTTCAATGCTACTTAGCCAGATTCCTATTATCTTCTTTGCTTCCCTCACTTGCGTAGTTGAAGAATGGAAAATGTTCTGCCAGTTTTCTCTTATTTTATCTTGCTTTCCACCAGGTCTACATGCCCTAGACAGCTGTGTTCATTGTATTTCTTTTATTTCTACAAAGTAAGCTTGATGGCCTCCGTTCCTTTACGTGGCAGTAGGTTTCTCCTTCAAATTCTCTCTGTAGTCAACTAATACAATTATTTTTTTCTTTCATAGAATCAGATCACATTCACATACCATACAAATATATATTCTGCAAACCTAGGAGACAGACTTTAATTAGTGTAGCTATAAATGAATGTTAGGTTATTAATAATTTTCACTGAAATAAAAAACATTCAATTTCTACCAAAATATAAAATAAATTAAAAAATTATTTTCATAGGAATGAAACAATTAGAAAGAGTTTTGTTGTTCTTTAAGACTGTTGGAGCCTTGTCTATGTATTAGTTTCGGTTCTGAATATAAGAGGAATCGGTAAGCTCAATAGTCGTTAGGATGGTGAGCCTAAACTAGGAGGCAGGGAAACAGGAAAACGTGTGATGGGTTTTATTTTCTTTCTTGCTCAATGGGTAGAACTAAACTGAATCTTTCCTGCATGCAATATAATCCAAACATAAAGTTGTGCTTTTTGAAACATATATGCTTCTGCAGGATATCCACAGATTAACCCTTTGAAAATACATGGATACATGAAACAAGTTACCTTGATGGCCTCTGGGAAAGAGAATTGGATGTCTGAGATGGTTAATAGAGTGCTTTGCACTGCATATTGTTTGGTACTCTTCAAATTTACATTATGTTTCTGTATTTCCAATTCAAACATTTTTTAAAAAACATAAGTACTGTTTATTTTTTTTTGAAATTCCTCCTAGCTATCTACTAAAAAGCCTTCATTATTCCTGTTAGCTTAAAAATGTTATTTTTTTAAATGAAAGTAATTTAATTAAAGGAGGAGGCTAGTAGGATGTAATGCACTAGGGAGTGGGGAAACCATGGTTATCTAGAAAGGCATGCTCAGCCCAAAGGCAGAGCAAATCAATTTTTCAGGCCTAATCATGCCCACCCATGGCTTTTCATTTATTTCCTCTATTTAAAGGCTGTAATACAATCACAGAATAGTTGCAGTCTGGAAGTGTTCAGATGACCAGTTCTGGGGGTGGAAAAAACTGTTATTTACTCAAAAATCTATGTTCTTCCAGGCATGGTTAGTGACATTGTGAAAGCAAAGTACGAAAAAGGATTCCTTCATCCAGAGATCCCTTCCACAGAGAACCTCTGCTGCTCAGTTAGCCATACAGAACATGCATTTTGCAAGTCTTGAGTAATCTTTCTCCTCAATACAAAAGGGAAAAAGCATAGGCAGGAAAGTGCCATTAACTTGCTCAGATTGAGGAAAACTCCCTGGGACATGATCAATTCACTGCAGGTTAAGAGTATTTGGTGTTGAGTAAAAATAAGACGGCGTTCTCACGATGCCGCTGGAGACATAAGGCAGGAGAAACGGGGAGCGGTCTCTAGCTTTGCACCTGTGGCAAATCGGACGCTCAAACTCCTTGCGAGGAAGACGAACAGAAAAATCCCAGGGGCCTTCAAAAATCTTATGGCAAAATTCCATTTTCACAAACGTTTTGAATCCCCCCTGATATCAATTCTGTTCGATCACAGTGGCAGAGTGAAAATGCAAAGATAGAATGTAGGGTGTGTGTGAAAATATCAATGATCAGAGAAAAACCATGCAACTCTATTTTATCATTAAGTTAACTCTAACACTGTTATTAAGGACTGTGTAGAGTTGATTCTTGAATTAACTCTGAGAGGTCTAAATTAATATGCATCTAATATAATTACATTAAATATTGCGATTTGATTTTGGGGGGCATCCTTCAAAAATAATTCTAAATCCCTCCTATTGAGACCTTTTTACATTTTCCTGTGGGGCTTGCTTGGCCTGCAGTTCCCAGGAGATCTTGAAATGCTAGCTGTCCCTGCTTCTGAGCACCCTGGGTGTTGGTCCAGAGGAATAGAGAGGGCTTGTTGGTAGGCTCTGTTCTGCAGAAGCCCCCTAATCCTGTTTATCATAACAAGAGTCTATTGCCATAGAAATGATAGCTGAGATCCCAGCTTCCACATTCACTGCCTTCACAGCAGGGCCTTGTAAGAGGAGAAGCCAAGCTACAAGGGAGAACGCAATTTATCCGAATAGTAGGCATTCAGAACCTTGCCTTGAAAGAGTAATTGTCAACATTCAAATAAAAAATGCATGAATGATCTGTGCTGTTGGATATGCAGTTTGTATTTTCTGTATCGTGCTGCCTGACTAAATGTAATGATTTGAAATTTTCTGTAACATAATAGCTTGCATTTGAAATGTCAACAGTTTCCCTTGACTGCGACTGTTTCTCACAGAAATAAGCAACAAGAAGATTCTGATTAATCTTGTTGCACATTTGTCCTTTCTGTGGTCCAAGATGTTCCTCTTCATGATATGTTGTTTTTTTGTTTGTGTGTTCGTTTGTTTTGTTTTCTTTTTCTATTAATAGAAGAAAGTGAACCTGAGCAAGATGCTAAAGGTATTATTATTATTATTACTATTATTATTATTGCCACCCTGCTCCTTTTTCGATGTATTTTATTGTTTTTTTGTTGCTTTTTGCTGACCTTAAAATCAACTTTGTGCAGAATTATCTTGTTAAGAAATAACTACCTATGGATGGAAAAATATTACAGCACAGTACTAGCCAAGTTTTATTAGATGGGCTGCTTTATCATAGAACACACCTGTTGGCCATTTGCTTTACTTAAAATATTGAGTCAACAGAAATGTTTTAACTGGGTGTCCCAAACTCTAGAAATATAAATGACATGGCATGGGAGTACAAATCACACCGAGATTGGAACAGATAGCTATCCTTTGACGAAAGACTTATTTCTCTTTCAGCCTACATTTTTTAAACAGATGTTAAAATCCAGCTGAGGTTTGATTTCAAGAGGACAAGGAATACTATGTAATGGATCCAAATAAAACCAAACCCAATGAAATTCATTTCAATTGTACACATACATATGTAATTACTGGACTATGTTTAGAGGAGAGCAACTGGAAACCCTACTGTAAAACACAGGTGCCCTAGTGGAGCTGGCTGGTAAGCTTTGGACTGCTAATAGTGTAGTTGGCAGTTCAAACCCATCAACCACTCCAGTGGAGAAAGATGAGGCTGGCCATTAAAAAATGTACAGCTTTGGAAACCCTGATCAATGTCAGAATCAACTACATGGCAATGGGTTTGAACGGAATGTAAAACATGAGTGCTCTCTACCAGCGCTCCTTCAAATAAAGCACTTTTCATTCTACCCAAACTCTGTGCCTTCTTAATTTAATCTAAACGTTGGTACTTTGATTCCCAACTTCTCAAGTTACATCACGTGACTCTGAAAATACATCTTAGTCTGGTTTTTTAAAAACTTCATTTCTATCCAAAATAAGGTATTGGGGATGATTTCCTATTTCTAAACATTAGATTGGTTACAACTAAATTTTGGTGAAATCATCCCACCTTGTCCTATGTGACTTCCCCCAAAATTGTTCCTATTAGTAATTGCTGGACTGAATAGTGGAACCAAAATATCAGAATAAGAGGACTAGAAAATAATATATATTTTTAAAAGCGTAAGAGAAAGGCGGATCCAGGAGAACTTATTTTTTCCTTTGGAATAATTGTGCAGAAATAGGCTTTATAAGAGATTTATATAGTCCACTAATTCCTATTCCCTTACCAAGTAAAGAGGGGTTTGTCTCAAGAAAAAACTACCAGTTAGTTTCAGGACTTAACTTACATCCTTGGCCTTTGGGGCTTTCCCTGACACCACATGAGCACGCTCTGTCCACTGGTCTATCTTCTTAATGTGGATGCAGATCAACAGCGCAAACTGTCGGGATTTCTAAAGATTAGGGCTCAATCTCTGCCAATCATTTCCCCTAAACCTCCCTTCCTCCAGTTTTAAATTTTGCATTATTCTTGGCTGCTGTCAAGCCTGCTCTGATTCATGGGGACCCTCTTTGTTATCGACTGGAACTGCTTCATGGGCTTTCCTTGTCTTTACAGAAGATGGCCACGTTTTTCCTTCCCCGTTATATTGGTTTAGTTGGTTAACGGGTTGGGCTGATAACCCCCAAATCAGTAGTTCGAATTCACCAGTTGCTCTGTGGGAGAAAGGCGAGGCTTTCTGCTCCCATAAAGATGGATAGCCTCAGACACCCAAAGGGGCAGCCCTCCTCCGCCCTACAAGGTCGCGATGAGCCGGATGAGCCGGATGAGCCGGAATCGACTCGATGGTGTGGATTTGGTGTTTTATACCCAGATAAGTCCAAACCACCCACCTTTATGTTAGCAGTTAAGTACACAATGTTTGTGCCACCTAGGACCTCACTGATTGCTATTTCGATGGCAACAGAATTCTGGGTCCCCTCTACAGGCTTCCCTGGGGGTTTGGGGGAGGACCCCAAGATTCCTTTCTCTCCTTTAGTCCTCATCATTTAAGTAGATTCAGTAGCATTTTTCTAGTTTAATGTTGCTATAAAATTTTAAGTTTACATGAATGCTGGCAGACTAAGAGAGTAAGTTCCCACATTCTACCCTCCACAGCTACTGAGATTCTGCTAGCTTGGCTTTCTCGTTCCTTCCACCATTTTATTGCTGCTGATTTAATTTTAAATACAATTTCAAATGTTGAATAATTCAATTCATGTATACTTTGATGTAAGAACATCTATTTTAAAAATATAATCACATTTCATTACCATCACCCCACCTTGGCCTCATTTAACACTACCTTCTTAAAGGCCAGTTAATACAAGGTCGGGTCAGTTTTCATATGATTGTCTCAAAATACCTTTTAACATTTGATTTGTTTGGTAAGGACTCAAAAAAGATCCAGACATTATGAGTTACATGCCTCTTACATCTCTTAATTTATAAATGTTTCCACTTGCATTTTTGTTGTTTTCCTAATGCTGTAGTGGTTACTATAGCATTTTTGTCGTTCTCCTAATGCTATACTGGTTCAGTGTTGGGCTGCTAACCGTAAAGTCAGCAGTTTGAAACCACTAGCCGCTCTGAGGGAGAAAGACAGGACTTTCTATGCCCATAAAGAGTTGCCATCTCTGAAGCGCAGGGGCAGTTCTGCTGTGCCCCATAGGATCCCTATGAGTTGTCGTTGACTTTATGGCAGTCAATAGTGCTATCTATTTGTTGAGGACACAAAATAATTTGCTATGTTAAATTTTGTATTTTCCTAGTTTGATTGAATTGCATCCTTGTGATATCTATTGTGTTCCTCAATCCTTGATTTTCTTTATGTTGGTAACTATATACCAGGACTTAATTAAAATCAAGCTCAATTTTGGTTATTTGGGGGCAAATTCAGTTACATTTTTAGCATTTGATTCTGCTTTTAAGGTTTTCTTTCTTTCCTTTTCCCCCCTCAGTCCTTCTTACCGTGCTGCCTTGGATACTACACTCCTGCTCTTCCCTTCTCCTGGCAGGGGCTCAATGATTGTTGGGGGGGGGGAATCCAAAAGTTTGTGGGAGAATGGAATTAAAAGCTAGTGGAATTTTCACATGCACCTTTAGAAGCCCCCTCATATTGCTAACTTACCGATCCTCTTCTAGATTTTCATCTCCTAAAATCCTTGATAGCTAATGACAGGAGGGTGAATTAATCTGCAGAAGCATCCAATTTCAGACAAGTTGTATTTGCCTCTATCTCACTGAATGATGCAATCCCTTCGAAGAAGGGAGAGAAAGATGAGGCTGTCTGCTCCCATGAATATTACTCTTGGAATCCGGTAGAGGGTCGCCACGAGTCAGAATGGATTCAATCGCAGTGTACTTGATTTTAATTTGGGGATTTAAGAAGGTATCTTAAAATCAGACCAACTTCTCACATAGCTATGGACTTGATTTATCATTATCCTGCATTTTCTTCTTTCTAGGAACTACAAGCTCTCCTGTTCTTTAGGTTATAACTCCAAACCCACAAATTCTAATGAACTAGACAGTGTTCCCCAAAGTGGGTGATCCCCCCACTGCCGGATGCTAGGATGATTCAGGGGTGTGTGAAAGCAGATCCTTATACTTTGTCTTGGATTCTGGGTTACAGCACCAAGGGTTTAGTTGCCAGGGGGGCACTGAGTAATTTCTTTTTTCCTGAAAAGGAGGCAGAAGGCCAAATCAATTTGGGAACCTATGAACTAGAACAACCAAGTTTCAAGACACTTGGTTAATTGAGGCTTCGTATTCTATTACCAAGCAGAAGAAAGATGAACTTTCTACTCCCATATCGAGTTACAGTCTTGGAAACACACAGAGGCGGTTCCACTCTGTCCTAAAGGGTCTCTCTGAGTGAGAATTGATATGATAATAGGAGGGAAAGTATATCAGTACAGCCTCTGAAACCCGATGTGGTCACTCTAAATTGGAATCAACTCGATGGCAGTAGGTTTACTCTATGATGATATTTTATATTTAAGTCAAGGACAACAAAAGGCAGGAGCATAAGAAATTATATTTACACCATACTGGACAATACAAAAGAGTCCCTAGGTGTTATGTTGGGTTCCCTAGAGAAGCAAAAGCAGTGGTGCTTGTACGCATTTCTATACAGAAAGTGATTTAGATTGAGAAATGACTTACACGGTTGTAGAAGGAGGTACGTGCAACTGGTTCAAACCAGACTGCTCCTGACTCATGTAGCTGTAGAAATTGATGAACAGGAAGCCAGAAAATGAAGCAGGAGGGGGCCACAGGCTGGTGGATGCAGAGTCAAATGAATCCACCATCAGTACATAGTCCACTGATGGCTCCTGGGACCGGCAGGCAATGCAACGGAAGATTAAGGAACCGGATGAAGGATCCAGCTCCAGCCAAAGGCAGAGGGCCAAAGAGATTCCTCTCTACTTAGTTCTTTGATACAAAAGGCCACACCCTGACGGAGGTGTCACCAGGCTGCAACCTGATTGATAGGTTGGACTCCAACCCTACCTTCACCCAGGAGTGCCTTGTTGATGACAGACTGTAATCCTCACACTGTGCTGTTTTTATAAGAAGTCAGAAAACCTGAAACTTGGTTCCTCACTCATTCATATTGCCGTAGAAGAGCACCTATCAGAGTTACCTGCTGTAATACAAATACCACACGTGAGAGGCTTTAAGGAACCGAGATTCATTTTCTCACAGTTCTGGCGGCTGCAAGTCCAAATAAGAGCCTCAGCCATGTTGGCTCATTTCTTGTTTATAGCCCTGGAGTTCCTTGTTTCCTGGGCATTTCTTAGCTTGTAAATGATCCCCACATGACGTCCGCCTTACTCTGTGTGGTTCACCATATGTATTCTGGTCGTTTTAAAACTCTGAAATGATTAGGCTTAGGATCTACCCTACAGTTTTCTAATCTCATTAAAATAACAAAAGAAAACCCCAATTTCCAACTAGGATTGCATCTACAAGTACAAGGGCCAAGAACTCAACATATATGAGGGGATACAAAACAAAAAAAAAGGAACATTTTTCTCCCAAAGCTTTGTATTTAAATTTTTTTTGCGAAACAAATTTTTCACCTTGAAAGTACTCAACTGTATACTTAATACATTTGTCACAGCTGCGATTCCATTCTTGGAAACATTTTCACACTTATCTCTTTAGATGGCTGACAGCACCTCCCTTGTTTTTTTTTCTTTACCTTTCCTACTTCATCAAATCGCTGTCCTTTCATGTCCCTCTTCATTCAAGGAAACAAAGAGAAGTCACACAGAGTGAGGTCAGATTCGTGGAGCAGGAGAGGCAGGCTGTTTTTGCCAGAAACTTGTGCACTGAGATGGCTGCGTGAGCAGGTGCACTGTTGTGGTGGCAAAACCAGTTCCCCATCTGCCACAAATCAGGCCTCTTTTGTCACACACTATTACGTAATCTTTTCAGATCTCTAACTAGAAAGTTTCGTTAACAGTCTGACCTGATGGAATGAACTCCAAATGCACTACAAGTCAACATTGTTGTCCATTTGGGAAGTTGACAGACATCCATACGAAGTTTGTCCTCAATAGGCATTTCACTTTTTTTTGGAAATGAGAAAACCACTTGCATACTTGTTTTTCCCATAGTGCTGTCCTTCTAAGCTGCGTTCAACATCACAACAGTTTCTGTGGCATTTTTCCAGAGCAGGAAACAAAATTTCACAGCCACACACTGTTCTCTTAAATTGGCCATCACAAAAAACAAGGTTTAAGTGAAACTGCTTTTATGAAAACATTCACTGTGACCAGAAAGAACCTTCCCAAGTGATGCCACTGGGTGCACTAAATCAGAGTAGATTGCTCACCTAGCAAGAAAAATACATTCTATGAAAGCTTCATCCAGTAGAGCTTTATTCTGTTTTGTTTTGTTTTGTTTTTGGTACCCCCTCGTATTTGGAGGGAGACAATTCAATCTATAGCCTAAAACTTACTAACATCAAGTAAATTTTAACTCCTAGTGGCACTACACAAGGTTTCCAAGACTGTAAATCTTTACAGAAGCAGACAGCTCCATCTGTGGTGTTGAACCACTAACCTTGTAGTTAGCAATCTAATAGTTAACCCATAGCACCATCATATTTTAAAATAACTCTTTTAAGTAAAATAACTATAAAAGTGATCACATTTATAAAATGTGAGAAAGATCTTAACGATTTTGGGAATCTTTTTAAAGCATAATATTTTAAGCATAAACTGAGATTTTTAAGTGTATATCAATGTATTATACATTCTGAGCCTCAATACTACTCTTTTTTAAAAAGTTTTTTTAAGAAAGATAAAATGTATTGCTTTCTTGTAAACAAAATAAGCAGTAGTAGATTCCCCCTCCAGGTAATCCAACTCTTTAGTTAGGGGCAAAATTCCTTCTCACACCAAAGAAGCTTCCTCTTAATGAGTCTCCCCTCAACAGAATTTGAATTACCCTTTCTTCTGCCTCAAATATTTTCATTTCTTATCCAATTTACACATCTCATTTTCTGAAAAGTCTGGTAGGTTTGTCTGCCCTCCTACTGAGGTAACATTACTTAATTATTTCACTCGTTCAACAAATACAATTATGTGATAAAAGAAATATTATTATGTACTTTATTGGCCCAGGCACTCTTCTAGGTCTTGACAAACAGGGGGTGGAGGTGGGCACGGCGGGGGCATGTTTTTTGGTTTCAGAGAAGTCACAATCTAACAGGGGGAAGCAAACAAAAAATAAAATAATTTCAGAAAGTGGTACGGTCTGCCCAAAGAATAAGATGATGGAAAGTAAATGAGGTGAGAGAGATACTTTCTGTTGACTGTTCAAAGAGGAAAGGTCATTTCAACCAGTACTTGAACAATACGCGCTGCCACGTGAAGATCTTGGGGATGACTACTCCCAGATTACTAACACGGCAGAGTAATAACAGAGGCATGTTCCTAAATTGGAGGGGAAAAAAAGATACAGGGTCATCCCATAAGTGGTTATAAGGGATGGGTCAGGTTTGGAGTTTGGTATCATCCTGAAAACAGAAGTAGAGTTTGGCTGATGTTGTTACCGGGTGCCACCATGTGTTTTCTGGTTCATCTTGACTCCATCAGCAGCAGGATGAATCGCCAGTCCAGCGCTGTGCCAGCGTCACAACTGTTGTTAATTTTCAGGCCATTGTTGCAAGTACTGGGTTAATCTGTTTATGGGTCTTCTTTTCACTGACCCCCAACTTTACCAATCATGGTGTCCTTTTCAGGACACTGATCCAGAGTGAGAACATGTCCAAAGATCGTGAGATAAAGTCTCTCCACCCTCGCTTCTAAGGAGCATTCTTGCTGTACTTCTTCTAAGACAAATGCACTTGTTCTTCTGGCAGTCCATGGCATTTCAAGAGCCTTTGCCAACACCATCATTCAACTGCATCAATTCTTCTCCAGTTGTCCTGATTCAAGGGGGTGGATATGATTCTTTAAACAGGAAAACACTAGGAAACATAATCTAATGAACTTTTTTTTTTTTGAAGCTACTCTAGCTTGAGATTCCCTACTGGAGAGTCATCCAATACTTTTGTCTTCCTAACAGTTTTTGCCAGAATCCTGAGGTCTCCTGAGTCCCACAATGCCACGTTTGGCTCCTTTGTGACCCTGCGCTGTACAGCAACAGGCATCCCTGTTCCAACCATCACCTGGATTGAAAATGGCAATGCTGTGAGTGCGGTCTGTATGGAGATTTATCTGGGGAGTACCCAGGGGAGTGAATTTCAGGACAGACTATGTATTTATCGAGTTGCCCTGATCTCTGTAATTGGTCCCACCTGCACTTTTTTTGATGCCTTGCATCATAGTGAGTGATTTTGTGCTTAAGAAGGCCTAAAACGGGGATGTAATAACTACTTTACACACAACCAAAATAAATTTCATAAAACTCAAAAGTCAAAATTTGTGTATTGCCGGGAGGTACTTTAATGAAAAAAAAATCCAGAATCAGAGCCTATATTTCTCAGTCCAATATTCCATCCTTTTTAATAGTGGTAAAAATAACAACTCAGGTATATTAAGTGATTACTCTGAGTCAGGCCCTATTCTAAGCACTCTTAACTAATCATTAATTCATTCTACCAACATGTGTTGAGCCCTGCCGGGTGCTACACTCTTCTATAACCCCCAGGAGACATACTAGGCAACACAAACATGTTCTGTCCTCATAGAGCTTCCATCCTGGTGGTAGAAGAAGATAATAAAATAAAACCTCACTGCTGCTTGTGTTCAGACAACCTTTAAGACCCCCAGCCACTACTCTCCCTGATAGCCAGGCACCATCTGATTTCGCTACCACACTTTGTTAGAGCACCCATTTCTTCAGTGATCACTTTATGAGAGCAAGTATCAGCAGGACCATATCATAAGGACAGATGGTTCTTAGATTAGGGTTTATGATTAAGTGTCGGTTCAAAATTCATTCATAGATCTAAGGTTGATGCGTATCCCTGGTCCACTTTAGTGGCAGCATTATCAGCTTCTTGAGAGATAGTATAAGCAGCTTCCATGAGACCTTTGGTAATTCTAAAACTAGTACCATCAATCTAGCCCATGGTATAGAATTTGGAATGCTGTTGAGATAATATACATATATAGGAAAGGTTTTTAAACTTTTCCAGCATTTTAAATTGCTTTCAGCATAAGAGTTGGTCTAAGTCATCTAGTCAATCAATATTTGAAATAGAAATCTGTAATGTATTATTACATATACTATATCTTATTATATATTTATTACTATATTATATATTTTATAGACTACAACATTTTGTAGATTATAAAGCATTAGTTTTGTATTTGGTTTGCACTCAGATTCTGATACTCTATTTTTAAGGATAAAAAATTTACTTTTATCCTTAATTTTAAAAGAGTTTTCAACACACATAGATGTTGAAAAGTTAATAAAATGCTTTATAATCAATTATATCAACTAATTGAGGAGCATATAGTGTTTTCATTTTAAATTACCAACTTTTCCTCATGTTAAACCATGTGTTTGTTCTTTAAACTTTATTTCTTTTGTCCTTAATGATGTATTTTCAATTTTCTATGGTTTTATTTAGGATTATTGTATTATCTATATTCAAAACCAGGAATAGCCTATATTTTTCATTTAGTAAAATATTATGTTTCTTCAGCAAGATTATGCCGGATTTATAGTCTATTAGTAATTTTAGATAATTTCCTTCGATGCAGAGCATCATAAATACTAATATTTATAGTATTTTCTCTCTATAGACAATCTACTTGCAACAGCTCTTAGAATGTAGACTCTATCAGAATGTACACTAATTTGTATCTGCTTTAAGTGTTCTGGTGAAGAAACTGAGATGCAAATCTCAAGCATTTTCTTTCCTTCTTGGTCCTCGCTTCTCTGTATTCTTGCCATTTATACTCCTATTTAACGCATTTCTCTCAGTATTTCAATCTTCTGTTGTTTTTCCTCTGCATATTTTCAAGGGAGGGCAGAAGGCAGCTCAATTAATGTGCTATGTTTTATCCCCTCAGGCTCTAATACTCTCCATAAAAAGGCTTACCAAAGGAACTCACTACAGAAACTCTAATTCACAAGATTTAATCCAGAGGAGGCAACCCTTGCTTGCTGCAAACGATTAAAGCACTAGGTTGTTAACCAAAAAGCTAGAGATTCAAGTTCACCCAGAGGTGCTATGGATAAAAGGCCTGAGGATCTACTTCTGGGAAATGAGCCCTTGAAAATTCCGTGGACTACAGTTCTACGCTGACCCATACAGGGTTGCTCTAAATTGGACTGAAGAGACTGCAGCAACTGGTTTGCCCGGATGCAGATACAACAGCCTGGGGTTCTGTGTAGACATAATAGTTTCCAAAGTCCGTGAATTATCCTGATTGTCTCAAAGTCAGCCCCACCTTGACCCTGCCACCACCACACACCACACACACACACACACACACACACACACACACACACACAGCCCTGCAGTCTGAACTCCGGGATTTTCCAGGACTATCTTGTGGTTAGGTGCCATCAGCTTGGTTTTGACCCAGAGCAACCCTATGCACAGCAGCACGGAACACTGACTGGTCCTGCGCCATCCTCACGATTGCTCTTGAGCTCATTGTTGCAGCCATTGTGTCAATCATCTTGTTGAGGGTCTTCCTCTGTTTCTCTGCCCCTCCACTTTATCGAGCATGATGTCCTCCGGGGACTGGTCTCTTTTGACAACATGTCCAAAGTAGGTGAAGTGAAGTCTTGCCATCCTTGCCTCTGAGGAGCACTCTGGCCATACTTCTTCCAAGACAGATTTGTTTGTCCTTTGAGCAGTCCGTGAAGCTTTCAATGTTCTTTACCAGAACCATAACTCAAATGCATCAATTCTTCCCAGTCTTCTTTATTCGTGTCCAACGTTCACATGCATGTGAGGCAACTGAAAATACTATGGTCAGGTGCACCTTAGTCTTCAAAGTAAAAGTAACATCCTTCCTTTTTAATACTCTAGAGAAGTCTTGTTCAACAGATTCCTCATTGCAACTTGTCTTTTGATCTCTTGGGAGCTGATTCCATGAGCATTAATTGTGGATCCAGGCAAGATAAAATCTGTGACAACCTTAATCTTTTCTCCATTTATCCTGGTCCAGTTATGACGATTTCCCCATGACTAGAGGGCAAATGTATTTATTCTTTGTTTTAGGTTTTGGTCACTTACTTGATAGAACTAGCTAGAAGCCCCCACATAAGACAGTAGCAGTGAGATGTTTCTACACACTGTCTTGTGCTAGCATCACAACAGGAAAATTGTTGATTGATTTATTGACTGATTGTCAGATAGCACTTTATGGTAAGTTTCAAATGATATCAAACATGATTTTGACCCAGTCAGGAGCATGCTCATTCTTGGGACTGAACGGTAGACATAGAACCAGGACCATTTGATCTCCTGGATGAAGAATCAAAACCCCTGGGATGAATTTTGCACACCTTTCTCAGTCCTAAATGGTTTTTGTTACTCTCTTTGAAGCCGTTCTAAAGTTTCCTCATCTAAATTCAATAGCAGCAACTACATCTAGGACCAATGGTCTGGCATGCCAACTTCCAGGCAAGGAGTTACCTTGTCAGCAGTTAGTGCTTGACATCTGAGAGAAGGATAACCTGAAATCACCTCTATATCATAATAAAGTTCAGGATCATATAATAAGTTAATCTGTACACTTTATTTTGCTTTAAATAAAGTTAAACAACACAACATTTCAGAAAGAGAGATGCGGGCTAAGAAAACAGGGAATGATGTTGTCACCTGCCCTTTTTTTCAAAGGGTTCTCCCAAAGGCAGTTACATTGAGTTGATTCTCACATGTGTCCCAGGAGAACTGTGTCCCTTAGAAGTTTTAAGACTGTGACCTTTTGAAAGATCACTGGGCCTGTCTTCCGCGGCACCTCTGGTGGATTCAACCCACCACACTTTCAGCAAGTAGTCACGTGCTTCACTGTTTGTACCACCCAAGGACTCCACTGGAAGGCACTCATCTACTCTGTATTTACACGCACCCTATCCAGACCTGGGCAATGCAGTGTATCAAGTGGATCACATTGGTTTAGTCCTAGACACAGATATAGGAAAGGAAGGAGGAAAGGAGAGATAAACTTGTGAAATTTTGATGGCTGGTTGTAAAATGGAAAAACAGCCAAATGATTTGGCTATCTCAATTAATAAATACTGCCTTATTATAATAGTACCTTCCAAGGTTTACAATTAATTTATTGTTATTTCTACTATTATTCTTTTTGCTGGAGATTTTTTCTCTTCTGATACTTGAACAAGACTGCTCATTTCTCATAATTTGCTGCGAAGACTCATTTATAAGATCTGATTTTCCATTCTGCAAAGGCTCATAGCTATAATGAGAACAACACCCCTTAAAAATACACTAGATAATAAATTCATGACATTTTACAAACTTGTCACTGAGGAATGGTGGGGTGTTGATGAGATGGGGAGTTAAGAGACTTCAATTTTATGCTCACTTCAGCTAATGTGATTTTTTTTAGTCAGTTTACCTCTCAGTAATCAGGCATTGATGTTTTCTCCTAGCTACAACATCAGAGAGTTTCCACGGCTAAGGAAGATGACCTCAAATATGACATCAAGGTTAATGTTCTCTAATTGAAGTTTCAATAAACCGATATGTAGTCTCTGTTCTTTTTAAGTTTTCTACAGAATTACATTTCAAGTGGCCATTTAAAAGTTTGGCAATATATATGTTGGCTCTTCTCTGGAAACTGATATAGTTGTCTTAAGTCTCTCATGACCATATAAAGAAGTGCTCATTAATAAAAAGTTTCACTAGAGACTAAAAATACTATTTTAGTTATTTTAGTCGCTACCTTATTCTACGGAAGCAGTAATAATGAAAATGGAAAATCATGCTCTAAAATATTCAGTGCTTTCAAAAGACTCGTAATTGGATGAATGCTTGTTCTCTAGTGAAGCCTAGGAGTAATAAAGGAGTGGAATCCTTTGAGCTAGTGTTGGTCTCATTGAGTAGACCCCGACTTAATCATGCAAGATGCTACTCATAAAAAGGAGTAGATGAAATATAGATCCATAGCTTCGGATTCTATATGAAGAATAAAACAAACGATACGGACTCCCCTCCAGGAAGAAAGTAAAAATACCTCCACCATTCCTTGGGTCAGAGAGTGTGCTGCTCCCACGGTTATGTTCGATTCTTGGTAATACTGCCCAGGCCCAAAATGAAACTGAGAGGCCCTTACCCACACTGACGCAAATCACAGGCAATGGGGGGGCGTTTCAGGCATTTAATATTGTTTGAGGCAGCCAAGCAGCAAGCCCATTGATTGAGGAGAACTAGGCAGCATCCACAGCCTTCATATTATTTTTGGTGGATTGAACAAAAGGAAGGCAGAGCTGGGGAACCTTCAGCACAGAATAAAATAGGGTTTGAACCTGTGGCTCCTCAAGAACCACAGCGATCCCAGAGGGTCCCACCATTGCTGCCGAGTCCACCCCGACTCCCGGTGACTCCATGTATCTCAGGCCAAGACTGTCTTAGAGAAAGCAGCGTATCTACTGTGAATAGCAGCCCGAGTCTCCTGAAGTAAGCGCTCTATTTTGCAAAGGGACACCTTAGTAGAAACCCCACCGTTATCATCAGAGCGCCTCTCTTTGATCTCTCAAAGCCAAGGGGCCAAGAGATCAAGAGGAAGGGGAGAGGGTTGTTTTTATTTTTAGGTCATCAAACATACTATACTGTTGATCAGGATGATCCCCGAAGAAAGAAAAACAAATTCAAACGATGACTCACGAGGCCTGTGGGCATGAGTCACAGCCGGAATCAAGCACCAGCCTCTGGGAAAGCACTTTAGGAGGCGTCTCACGTGAAGCCCGAGTCCCGGGGCTTGTTCTTCTGGTCAGGAAGTGTTTCGCCACCTGGATGGAGTTCAGAGGAAGAGGGCCGGCATGCGCGCGGGCAGCATCAAAGTCTCTTCTCTTTCCGTACGCGGGATATTCTCAGTGACCTTGGGGAGGTGTTTAGGATTGACTTTCGTAGGTGCGAACATGAAAGTGGTGGGAGTTCAGGCAGCATTTGCGGATTACTTGTGTCTCAGAAGCAGGGCGCAGACTAACTTCTTAAAGGAAGAAAGCAGTGGACGAGAATAACAGTTTTGTGGATTTCACGGATCTAAACTGGACAGGGATTGGATTTATAGGGAACATCTTTTTCTACCAAAAAGCATACTTTTGAGCATAGACGTTTAGGGCCCATGGCTTTTTTCTTATTCTTTGTTCTGTATTAAAATTCAGGAAGGCGCTGAAATTGTATTTCAAACTGTTTATTCCTTTTGATCTAAGTTGGATTCACACGTCCACAAAAAGTTGTACTTTGAATAAATATGAAAATCGGAGTTCAATGAACATTTCCTAAGGATCTCTGGTGGTGCCGTGGTTAAGCACTGGGCTGCGAAGTGCACGGTCGGCAGTTGAAAAGGAGAGACTGGGCTCTCCACTCCTGCAAACAGCCTGGGGATCCCACAGGGGGTCACTGTGAGTCAGCCTTGACTCCGTGAACGTGAGTTTGGTTTGGGTTGAACGCACAAAGACAGTTTTCTCTCTGCCCTGTCAGTGTCTCCTCGAGTCCGGGTGGGCTTGATCTGACAGGGTAGTTCCCCAGTCAAAGTAAATGGGTGTTCACCGAAGCCAGCTTTTATCACACAGATTGATACTAAGAGCAAAGGCGGAAACTACCAAGAAGGTCACTGGAGGAACTTTACTCGCGGTCTGCTGCAGTTTGGTTGGTCCCGAACAGCCAACTCCCTGGTAGCAGCTGGAAGAAAGCTCATCTCACCTGAGGGCAGTGCCTCCTCCCAAATATTCTAACCACTGGATTCCTCTCTCAAGCAAAACACCAAAACGACTTCTGCTCTAACTTCATTCTCACACTTGATCTTAGCCAAAAGGCCGAGAAGCAACACTTCATTCTCATGCCTTAGTACTGGCCAGGGGAGTCCATTTCAAGGCCAGCAAAAGCAGACCACAGAGGGATCCCAGTTACTACCAGTTAAGGTCCAGGGTGGATTCTTTGTTGTTTCACTCAACTCCTCCTCAAAGTGGCATCATGTTTCTCGCATCTGATCAGGGATCATTAAAGAATAATGATTGAGGAAATGAGATCGTATTCAAGAAAATAATTTTTTTTAAAGATTTCATGTTTTCAACGTTTAAAAAATCGTATTACCTTAGCAAAGACATTTCGGTGAGGCTCTTTTGTTCACGGCTGGGTCACTTGTGGAGGTGATTGCTGTTCCTGGAATGCCGAGTTGGTGTAAACCGTTCATTTGCTCAGCTGCTGACTGAATGGTTGGATCCTTGAATCTACTCAGAGGCGCCCCAGAAGCAAGGCCTGCGATCTAGTTCTGAAAATCCACATGGAAACCTTGTGCAACACAGTTCTGCCCCGACAGGGGCCGGCATCGTTTGGAACTGATGGCTACTTGCTTGTTGTTTTGACTCTGTGACAGTGCTGGTGGCAAAGTGGATTTGTGTTGGGCTGCGAACCATAGGTGAGCAATTCAAAACCACCAGCTGCTCCCTGGGAGAAAGACGAGGCATTCTACTCCCATAAAGAGTGACAGTCTCTGAAACCCACAGGGACAGTTCTGTGCCATCTTATCAGGTCCCTATGAGTCAAAATCGACTCAGTGGCAGGGAGTTTGTTTGCGTTTGGATTCCTGTTTCTTCCTGACTCTTACTCTAGCCTCTTCTCCTGGACCAGAATGGCAATGTCCCCTAATTCAAGGCATAGGCTCCGGTGTCGCATGGGTTCCAATTCGAACTGCAACATAATAGAACGTGCAGGGCAGCTGTCTTTACCACAGTTGGAAAGCTCAAGGGCTAACTACGCACTTACCTAAATCAGCCTGTCGATTGTGTGCCAATATATTAAAACCATCGCTGTGCGAGGGCACTTGATTTTTCTGGTTTGAGTAGGACAACATTATCAATGTTAAGCATCAAAGGCAAAATGGACTTCATAATTGCCTTTCTTGATATCCATCCATTTATTTGCTATTCATTTATGGCAAACTGAATATGAGTGATGGAAACAGATCCCAAAGCATACAAGCTCTCATTCGGTTCCTTCCCTGCCTTCAGGGCATAGATGTAACATGGTGGAGAATCTACACTATGTACCCTTAATGTCGTGCATTAGTTATTTATTGCTATCACACCAATCATCTGAAAGCTTAGGATCTTAAAACAACAGCCATTCATTAATCTTCAGACACCTGTGTATCAACAGGGTCGTTTTATTGGTTTGGGCCCGGCTTGCCTGATTTTGACTGGTCTAAGTTCTGGGGACTGGGTGCTGCTTGGTCTTGGCCTCCCTGATCCATCTGGTGTTGTTACAGGCTCCAGGCTGGACCATTGGAGATAACTGGGCCATGTGGATCTCATCCTACGCAGGTTTGCCAGGGCTTTTTAATATGAGGCCACAGGTTTCAAGAGTAGGCTAAAGCAAGCCCCAGTTGATAAGAACTTTTTGAGTTTCTCTGTCTTTCCAAAAACACATCATAAAGTGGATACCAATCCAAGGAGTAAAGGAACTATGTGGAGAAAAATCTGGCAAGTTTTGCAACCTACCACATGATTTTTTTTTTTTTTTTGTCATTATCCTAATGTTTTTCCCTTCAAGTCTACTGGTGCAGTGTATTGGGAAATCCTTGGCCTAATTCTATCGTCTGCTTTCGCCTACTCTATCAGGTTTCCTCTGGCTCCATTCAGGAGAGTGTGAAAGACCGGGTGATTGACTCAAGATTGCAGCTGTTTGTCACCAAGCCGGGACTCTACACGTGCATAGCTACCAATAAGCATGGAGAGAAATTCAGCACTGCGAAGGCTGCGGCTACCATCAGTATAGCAGGTGGGGGGCCCTTGGTGTTGCATTGCTCAGGGGAGGAAGACATTGGGTACTGGTCCACAGCATTTCGCTTTGGGAAAATCTCTTTCTTCTAACAGTTCAGTTGCTTTTTGCTACTTCCTCCATGAGGACACGCCAGAGGTCAACCTTGATATTGACTTTGGGTGATTCGTTGTCTTTTCAAAGACTATTCTCAAACAACCCCCTCCTTGCCCACCAGCCCAAGCCATGGGAACCAGCTTGAAGAAACTTAATTCTTTTTCTCACTGGCAGTTAAGAACATTTTCCAAGGCTCTCAAAGAGTAAGTTGGCAGGTATTTAATATGGCTGCACCAATCAATGTCTGCTTTGACTCTTCTAAGGGCATTTTTACCTAAGAACATTTGATTTGTGCCTCTGTCTTCCTCTCTTCTGTTCCATGCAGTTCCAGGTGTTTTCAAGAAAAAGGACTGACTTACAGATTTATAGGATATTTGAATTGAGTTATAAAGGTTTATTTTTAAAATTTAAGCGGCTCCAAGACTTTTGAGAACATTGTGGAATTCTCAGAGGTGGAAATAATCCCCGTGTCAGGAAATACCAAGCATGTTTTATTCGTAGTCTATTTAATCCAACATATAAATAATTAAATATTAGAATAAATCTACATCTATATAGTTGGAACTGACTCAATGGCACCTGACAAAAACATACATGTCCCATGGCCATCAAGTCAATTCTGATCCATCACAACCCTCTTGGGCAGAGGAGAATTGCCCCACAAGGTTTTAAGACAATAAATCCTGAAATGGACTGCCACATATTTCTCCTGTGGAGGATATGTGGAGGTTTGAACTACCAATCTTTCCATTGGTAACCTAGCACTTAACTACTGCACCACTAGGGATTTTGGAGAGATAGGCAAGCAGACAGACAGAGGCACACAGAGAGGCATTTACAAGAGCAGGAACTGACCTAAGCTAGTTGAACCTACACCTCAATTGGGCAGAGGAGAAAAAGGGGTTGCCATCTTTAATTCCTCCGCCTCTTCATCTTGAAAGAGTCTCATTTGAGGTAATCATTCAGTCATTCAAAGTTCAATTCCTAGCCATGGTTTGAAGTCATAAACAGGAATTCTGAGTTTAGTGTGGGAACCTTCAGACTCATAAGCAAAAAGACTCCACTCACAGGGAGAAGCGTGGCATGGCCAGTGGGGAGGAAAATTCAGTAGAATTTGTATATCTACCCTCAACAAAGGTAGCCACACCCTAGAGAGTGATCTCTTAGGCACAGAAGAGACTGAGCGTATGATGGCCATCGTGGAACACACTACAACTTCATATCCTCATTCCTATCCAAGTGAGACCTGCCTGGCCCCATTGATTAAAAAATGCCACAGAAAGCCTGAAGGTGTGAGACAGGAACCATGGGAAAGCCATGTCACCAGGGGCAGGAAGAAGAGGCTGTAGATATAAGGGTTGGGACTAGATCAGACTGTGGGTGGGGGCATTCAGCTACGCCTTAGCATTGCAGGAAAAACACCGGTGGACTTTGCCTGGGAGTAGGGATGGTGGGAGTCATGACTGCATTGTCACGTGGTAGCAGAGAGGACGGTCAATGTGCTGTAGCAACAGAGCTGCTTGGGGAGTGGTGACCTCAGCAATGGTTACACAGACTGGAACGAGCAATGATTCAAGTTTAGTCAACTGCTTGGCAACCACAATGGTATTGAGGTCAGTTTGGAAGTGAGACTTAAAGCACTCAGGACAGGGGTAGTTTTTAAGGAGCCCCTAACACCTCATCAAGAACATGAGTAAAGAGAGAAGCAGGCAGCATAAGGAAGAAGTTAACATATAACTTAGACCCGGTACCTTGCCCTCTCCAGAACAGCATGAACCCATAAATCCATCCATAGACAGAATCACTGGGTTGTACGAGGTTGGGGATAAAGAAGTAGGAGTTGTTTATATATTAAAAAAATAAATGTAAGAACCAGAAAAAAAATGGGCAGGGGCAGGGGAGGCATAAAAAGGTATAAAGTGATTCTGGTAATTGAGAAATACGTCTATTAGTTGGAAATTGCTGTCCATCTAGTTTCCATTCCTGTCCTAATTGTTAAATAGCTACAAGACCCTTTGTTCATCCCCTGGTCCATTTGTTCTGGTTGAGTTTCATCACCTATTAAACGTCTAGCTCCCCTCACTTCCCCCCCAAATTTTCAAGCATCTTACTGAGAGTGTCGCATGAAAGTGAGTGAGTGAGAGCTCCCAGTCCCTAGGCTACATCTTCTATGTTCCCTTTCTCTTGGGCCCATTCTTTTCAGCTTAACCTGCTAGATGCGCCTTAAGGTTCTCTCTACCATCAACCAGGAATCCCGCCCCCCCCCACCCCCACCCCACCCCCCGTGTTCTCTGGTGCAGGGAAGTGAAGCCCTTTCTCTTGAGTGGAAAGGGATCCCCAGAGTCACTTTAATTCAGGCTTATGGCAAAGGAACGTGGTCTTATGGTCCCCAGACCTCCAGAGGTTGGGGTGACATCTGCTTTCTCCATTCCTGCTTTCAACTCCTTGCCTTTTGCTCTCCGTTGATGCTTTGCAGAAGTGCAGAGCGGCAAGTCCCGCATGGCGATGCTCTCGCAAACACTCTTCTTCCCATGTCAGCACCCCACCCCCACTCCGGCCTGTGCTCCCCTAGCGTTCTGCAGTCCAAAGACCCCTTTGTTACATCCTGTGTTTCATTTGAAGCCTTTGCTTCATCTGTTTATTTACTCAGCTCAGCAGGAAAACTAGAAATGGAAAAAGCTGGTCCAGTGCTTGGGATTATGTCTAATGGTATTTCTAAAGTTTGAAAACAACCAAAGGAAGAAAAGTCAAGATCAGCCTTCGCTTTCCCAACCCCCTGCCCTGTGCACACCCAACTCCTTATGCATTGTTTGAGAAATGTAATAGATACGCTCTGCACTGACTGATGTACATTTCTGTTAGTCATGAAAAGGAGTCAGGGAAACTTTTGGAACCTCTCACTCTGAACCAGGAAGTGATATTTCCCCTCCACTCACAACCCCGGAAGGCGCAGGTTGCTGAGTATGTGGCTAGATGCCTTTTTTTTTTTT